CCCAGCAGCGGCTGAATTGGGGACTCCTGGGGCAGAGCCGGACTATCAGAAGGGAGGGCTATGAGGGGGTCTAGGGTAGCATCCCCCCACCCCAGACCCCTCATAGCCCCCCCCCCTTCTGATAGTCCGGCATATCTGATAATCCGGCACCCCCTGGGTCCTAAAGGTGCTGGATTATCGGAAGTTTACTGTATAAACACGTGATTTTAATTGAATGTGTCGCATAATTTAAAAATAAACTGTTTATCAGTGTGTAAGTAAGGGCTGGGGATAGCAAGTGATGGACAGGAGGAGAATAGAGATGGTGGAGCTTCAAGGAAGGGGCGGGGCGGTAGATCTTGGCCCATTCTGAGATTTTAAAAAGTGATCTTGGGTGTAAAAAGGTTGGAGAGCACTGGGCTAATGTGTTGGACACCACGGGACTAATCCCAAACTCTTCCTTTTTGCTGAAGGTGGTTTAGCTTGTTGGAAAGCATTTTCCTGTGGCTTGAAGCCTTGCGAATTCAATATTAATATGAAGAAAATATCTGCTTATTAACATTGCTCAATGTTACTTGTTTTTGTGTAATGTGGTTCTCCAAAATGTATATTTAACCTGTTGCTCTTAAAGGTTGTAATTGAATGCTGTCATTGCATCCTATTTTCAGTCTCTTAATGCAGAGCCTTTGGTGACCTGTCTGTAAAACAAGCCAGTAACACTGCTGCTTGCATGTTTTCCACAGTGGGTTGAAAGGATCACTTATTGCTTGACACTTCCCATGTCAAAATCACAAGCCACCAGCTGTATGAAATCTTCAGTAACTATTCAGTAGCTTTTTCTCTGCCAGTTTTGAACAAGCTTTTACATGTTCATGTTGCCTTGGAATGCAGAGGCAGATAGTCACCAGTGCGCCCTAGTCCAAGGGTGGCCAGCCAGTTAGGGTGTGTCTAAACTACATGGCTCCGTCGATGGAGCCATGTAGATTAGGCTGATCGGCAGAGGGAAATGAAGCCGCGATTTAAATAATTGCAGCTTCATTTAAATTTAAATGGCTGCCGCGCTCTGCTGACCAGCTGATGGTCAGTTGGTCGTCGGCAGATGGGGCAGTCTGGATGTGCTGCTGTCGACAAGGAAGCCTTTGTCGACTGGCACAGGTATGCCTCCTGAAACGAGGTTTACCTGCGCCGGTCGACAAAGGCTTCCTAGTCGACAGTGGTATGTCCAGACTGCCCTGATCTGCTGACGACCAGCTGATGATCAGCTGTTTGGCAGAGCGCGGCAGCCATTTAAATTTAAATGAAGCCGCGATTATTTAAATTGCGGCTTCATTTCCCTCTGCCGATCAGCCTAATCTACATGGCTCCATCGATGAAGCCATGTATTTAGATACCTTAGAGATGAAGAGCCAAAACAGCAGTGGATAGTGTCAAGAGCCACGTATTGTATGTATATTTTTGTATAGCTAGATATAGTACACAATCTAGTGATATAAATAACTTTACAGGACATTTTGAACCAAAACCAATCAAGTCTTGAGTCACTTAAAAAATTCACAGCCAATCCATTGATCTTCAGAACTTGATAAGGACCAAACATCAAAATAAAAAAAACCTTTAAGAATACAGTAATAGTCTCACACTTAAAAAAAAAAAAAAGTCCCCTCCATGTATTTTAAACTTAATACTACTGCCCTATTATGTCCTGTGAGGTTTTTTTAATTTAAACTGAACTGGGAAGTAAATTAGCACTATTTGAAGTGCCTATTTCACTCCAACTTGTTGATCTCTGGTTTGGTTTCTTCTTTAAAAAAAAAAAAAAAAAAAAAAGTATGAAAATTATGGCTTTTATCATTGTAAAAAGTCAGGTGTCCCAGACTGCAAATATGAGAGATTAAAAAACAAGACGGGAGACACTCATATCTCAGAATAATTGCTTTAGTCTAGCAAACAGTAGCCTTGGAATTTTCTTTAGAGAAACAGTGTAAACCAGGTACATGCTGATTTCTTTCTTTGTGTAGATAGATAGATAGATAGATAGATAGATAGATAGATAGAGTTCACAAAACGTAGTGATAAAAATAACATCACAGGACATTTTGGACAAAAACCAATTTGAATTTAAATGACATCTGTATTTCCTTATTCTGCTTCCATGAAGACTTTGAGTTCAAGGTGTTTCATCCCCTCTGCTTTAACCCAGTCTCCCTCCTCTCCCCCAGAGCCAAGCACCTCCAAACCCCCTGCTGTACCCCAATGCCTGAGTCCCGGAGCCACCACCATGTGCTTCTCCCTCCAGGCACGCGCACAGAGCAGCCGGCCGTGAGCAGGCGCTGGGGCGCCCGTGCAGAGCAGCGAGCCGTGAGGAGGTGCTGGGGCATGCACGCAGAACAAGAGCTGCATTTCTTTAACCAAAGAGCCGAATGCAACTTGAGAGCTGCAGGTTGGCCACCCCTGCCCTAGTCTAAAACATTGACTAGAATCTTCCATCTAATGCTCAGCTTATGGCAAGTTTCACTTCTGTCAGGACCCCTATGGTGTCTGGCTGTATGCCCCAGCCGTGTGGCTCTTTCAAGTCAAATACACTCTCCAAAAATCTAGCCCGTAGTTCACTTTTTCTTAAATTATCTATATCTAAGGTACAAAATATTCTTTTCACCCAATATTATGTGAAAAGATAAATACTCCAATTCTTAAGACTATCAGAAATTATCCATCCAATCCATACATTGATGTAATTAGTGATCACACTCCAGTACTTCAGTGTTGACATTGCTGTGCCATATGTTGATAAAGGTGTCTGTTTCTGATTTTTGTGAAGGTAGCACTTTAGAGGCAAAGTAAAGCTTGTTTGGGTGACTTGAACTATGTATCTGCCTACCTTCAGATTTGCTCTCTCAAGTGTACTCTTTATTTTGTGATTACTTTTTTTCATTTTTAATGGTGTTCATTCCGAGTGCAGAAGAGACCATCAAACTATATAACCTGAATTCATGTATGTTATAGGCCACCAGTACCCTTCAGCCACCCACACTCTAAACTCAACAGTTGAAATTAGGCCTCAGGACGTTGTTGTTGTGTGCACAGGAAAAGGATTGGAGAGATGGAGGTGTACCCATGGCTACAGTCTATGCAATGGCAGGGAATTTTGTTGAAGGTAACCGGATGATTTTCATAGATGACATACACCAAGCTGCAGAGATGATAACCTCCCACATCACTGTGAATTAGACTTGGAGGACAATTCCTTCCCAACCTCACATGTGGCAGTCAGATTCTGAGCATCAGAGAACCTGAGAGAATTCTCAGTACCTTCTTAGTACCATCTCAAAGCACTTAAGACACAAGACAGGGTGGAGCAGGTCCAGCTGCATCCATCTGTGTGGATGCTTCAGAGGAAGGAGATGCCAAAAAACAACCCATGGTTGGGGGAGAATAGCCCTTTTTGACGTCTGCAAGTGACCAGTTGAAGGCCTTTTAGGAACATAAGACGTACAGTGGAAGGGGATCTCAGGATAGGTGAGCCTTGGCTCCAACACTCCTCCTCCCTCCCACAACATTCCTGTTATACAATCCCACTCATACATTTGTTAAGCTTAACTAATTAGGTTGTTTGCCCCCAAAATCCTATTGGGAGGTTGTTTCAGAAACAACTCTTATGGTTAAACCTGATCATTTCCAGCCTAAATTTATTAATGGCCAGTTTGAACCCATTTGTTCTTTTAGCACTATAATTTGAGCTTAAATAGCTCATCACTTTCCCTTGTGTCTACCTTCTGATATATTTAGAGCAATTCATATCTTCCCCCTCCGCGCCCCCCCCTTTTGACTTTTTTTGGCTAGACTAAAGCCAAATTCTTAGGCCTAGTCTACAAGATGCACGCACGCACCCCCCTCCCATCCCATCACTCTAAGCTATGCAACTTTAGATGCACGAATAGCATAGCTGCCGTTGACATACTTACTGCAGTTTCTTCCATACAATAAGGTAGGCAGGAGCTTTTTTCCCCCCCATACCCTTCTCATCCTGGTGGAATACTGGAGTTCACAGGAGAGCACTTGGAAGTCAATTTATTGCATTTAACAGATACAATAAATTGACTGTGGGTAGCTCAGTCACTGCAGCATCAATTCACCAAATAGTCAAGACACGTCCATAGCCTTTTCTCATAAAATAGTTGTTCTAGTTGCTCACAGGTCATGTCCCATCTAATGAATTTCATCTGATTAATACAATCTCAATGCTAGTTTGTGGTCTTTACATTTTCTGCCATTTAAACTAGCTTTTCTATCTGTCAGTAACTATCTGCTTCCAAAAAAAAAATCTCATCTTGGAACCACACTTCTCCCTGGCCTAGCTGAAGAGAAGACAACACAGTAGTGAAGGGTGAATTATTGTTCTGTAGGGAGGTTACTAGTGAGATTTCTTCAGTGATTGTTTATAATCCTTATCTTTGACATGAGGGGATGGAGTGTACTAATGAAACTTGCTGATACAAAGTTGGGAGGCCTCATCAATATGAAGGAAGATGAGTGTAATATAAGGAAATATTAATTCTCTTCAAGAGTAGTAACAAATGGGATGAAATTCAATAGTACAAAATTGTAGGTCATGAATTTAAGGTCTAATTTCTGCTATAGTCTGAAGACATGTCAGTTGAAAAGCAAAAGAAGAGGAGCTGATTGTGTTGGTCATTCTCTCAGAAGGGAGCTACAGTGTGGTGTGGCTGCAAAAAAAAAAGTGCCTTCCTCAATCCCATTGTACAAATCAGTGGTAGGATTTAATTTAGAATACAGAGTTCAGTTCTGGTCACCCACATTTAAGAGACTAATTTTTGTGCAGAAGGCCAATAACAAAGCCCTAGGGAGCACCTTTCAACAGAGGGAGGAGATGGACTAAGCAAAATTAAGCGGAAGTCTAGTTAATGATGTCTAAATGCAAAATATTCCACAAATTTAAAACTTATTTTACAATGCAAGACTTAATTACTCTTCTCTTCTTTATATTAGGTTATTATTGAAGTGACAGAGATGTTGCATAATGCGAGCTTACTCATAGATGACATTGAAGATAACTCAAAGCTACGACGGGGCTTTCCAGTGGCTCATAGCATCTATGGAATTCCATCCGTAATAAATTCTGCTAATTATGTGTATTTCCTTGGGCTACAAAAGGTTTTAACACTTGATCACCCAGATGCTGTGAAAGTGTTCACTCGTCAGCTGCTGGAACTCCATCAGGGCCAAGGCTTGGATATTTATTGGAGAGATACATACACGTGTCCTACAGAAGCAGAGTATAAAGCCATGGTACTGCAAAAGACAGGTGGTCTCTTCGGATTAGCTGTGGGCCTCATGCAGTTGTTCTCCAATTATAAAAGAGACTTGAAACCACTCCTTAATACACTTGGGCTCTTCTTCCAAATAAGAGATGACTATGCTAACTTACACTCCAAAGAGTATAGTGAGAACAAGAGTTTTTGTGAAGATTTAACTGAGGGCAAGTTCTCATTCCCGACTATTCATGCTATTTGGTCACAGCCTGAAAGCACTCAGGTACAGAATATTTTGCGTCAAAGGACAGAAAATGTAGACATTAAAAAATACTGTGTACATTACCTTGAAAATGTAGGTTCCTTCGAGTACACTCGACAAACTCTGAAAGAGCTTGAACGTGAAGCATATGAACAGATTGAATCTCTGGGGGGAAACCCTGAACTTGTAACACTAGTTGAGCATTTAAGCAAAATGTTCAAAGAAAATGAAAATTGACCAATAAATGATTTGATTTGTGGTTTGGGGAGATAAATGCTGGCTTTAAAATTTAACCTAGACTTCCTTACAAAATTGTCAAACATAAAAATGTTTAAAATTAGTTACTATTACTGTTGCATTATAGAAACTGCTATATTAAGTAATTGTGGAGTATTTATATGCATCAAATTCTCTACAGTTTTAATTACAACTGCTTACAAAATACTGCACAAAAATAAACTTGAATAGATCTGTTAACCAAAATTAACAATTTTTACCTCTTTTCCTGTGAATATTTCAGTTGTAATCTCCTCTGCACAATCAGTGGTGTTTGTTTTAGTTACATAGTTTGTGTCTTTGGAGCATGTTGCAGACTTTAATTTGAGATGCGTTTGGCTACGTCTCCATATTAAATTCAATTTCTTCTTAGAAGCTTTTGGCATTTTTTTAAAACATGGATATTTAACACTTTTACAACCTATTCCTTATCCTTCTTAAAATAACAAATGTTTTAACAAAAGTGGAATGGAAGGAGAGAAGACTCCAAAATGGTTCATGACTTTCTGTACTGCTGTACATCCAGGTATGAGGAATGATGGTATAAAAGGAAAATCAGTGTTGCCAAATGGATTTCAAATCTTGAGGGTTTTTTAATCTGAATAATTCATACCATTATCTTGGCAATAAAGGCGCAGTCACTGTCCAGCCAAGTGAATTAACACTCTGGCCTAATGCTACACTGCTGAAGTCCCAATTACTTGATACAGTCTCATGTAGGTATCTTTAAGAGATTCCATCACCAGTACAAAGTAGGGACGGGAAGGTTTAACTAGTAAACCTCATGCTTAATGGGTGAGGCTTACAGATTAAGCTTAACCAGTGGTGCTGGAGCAGTTTTCCACCTGCCATGGGCAGGGGGCCATCTGGAGAGATGCTGCTCCAATGTCTTGGCTGATGAAGCCCCTACCTCTGGCAGGGTTAGGGGAGAGGTGCAGGTGGGGGTTACCTTGGTAGGTAGTGCACATACTTGCGTGGAGGGGCTTGTATTGCTATAGAGAGCAATGTAGCTATCCCTCTGTAGTTGCACTGGATGGTGAACATCTTTTGAGAAGTTTTAGCAATGAGTTACGGGCTTTAAGTCACAAGGTGACTAGGAGTATTGGTCAACTTTCCAGTTTGCAATTTACTCCACCCCATATTAGCTGTTTCCTATAACTCTTGTGCCTTTTTTAATACTACACACCCTCCTGCTCGTCCACCATGTCTGATAGATGCCTACAGAGCTGTCCCTTGTTCTCACAAGCATTGTAATTACAGGGTACACGGTCCTGGGATATGTGCAGAGCCACATCAGTGGAGAACGAAAATTCCTGGGACAGGTTGCTATACGACATAGTGAAAGCCAGTTCAAAGTTATTAGCATTCCTGAAGTAGCCACAGATGGAGCGGTGCTTCTGGGCCCAAGAAACGAGCGTTAAGTTGTTTGATCGGAAGGTTTGGGCCTGAAAGCTGGCTTCCCACATTCATCGCTGCCTCTGATACAGAGGCAGCAGTGAGGGAGGTGACTGTATGTATCAGTGAAGGCTAACAGATAGGCCCAGGCTCATTGGTTAGCCATTTACAACTATCACAGCCCCAGTAGCAATACACTGTCACTTTCAACAGCACCAAAGAATTGTTCAACTGTTGGCTCGGCAGGTGCTGAGTTGAAGGTGCTTTTAATGATTTGGAGAGTTGCTGACATTGCAAGATGAGGAATTGCTGAGAAATATCCTAATGGTAGAACTACAGATCTGTTCTGCATGCTGTATGTGAAAGTGATGGGAAGAAATTTCTGTGGGAGTGGAGGGCAGAGTTGAAGTGGCTATTAGCAGAATTTGTACAGCCCAGTAAGGGGCTCTTAGAAGAGCTTCACTCTCAGCTGTGCGTCTCTTAGCCTTTGAGAGATGATTTTAACGAGCCAGGGCATGTCTTGTAGCACATTCTTGTCACTAAAAACTCCTTTTTTGGCAACACAACCTGGAGAGCATTCACATTGCAACACAACAAAAGGCACAATTTCAGTTTTGACCAAAAAAACCTTCTACCTCCAACAGACTTTTGCCCCTTTCCCTCTATTTACTATAGATAACCATGTAGAGTGTACTACAGGAGGTGCTTTTTTTTTTAAGTTGATTGAACTCCGGATGTTTCCTACAGTGCCCAATTAACCACTCTGGCCAGTGCATTGAACTCTGCTGCCAGGTAAACAGAAATGTTTCTCTGCTGTAAGTCCTGGGAACTTCAAAATCTTTTTCCTGCTGGCTAGCTCAGCATGGAGTGCTCCTCATGGTATCTTCTCAGGGTATCGGGTGGCTATCGCTCAAGACACTCTCCTGCTTGGAACACCACACAGCTCTTGGATCTCATCAGTGGGTGGAGTGAAGAAACTGTGCAATTGCAAACATGAGTGACCTGTAAGAACTGGGACATGTAGAGCCACATTTCTTGAGCCCTAGGTGAAAAGGAGTATGATTGTGACACCCTGCAATGCAGAGCAAAGATAAAGGAACTCTAGCAGTTGTTCCATAAGGTGAAGGAAGCAAACAGCTCATCTGGTGCTGCATCCAAGACCTGCTATTTTATAAAAAAATGGACCCAATCCTGGATGGGGACACTCTGAATACTTCCATGGCACAAAGTTGTCAGAAACAGGACTTGACCTGGGGAAAGCTCTTGATGAAGAGGTAGGGGCTCACCACAGGCTCATCCAGTGCAGTAGGCAGCCAGGAACTGGTCCCAGGTCTCATGTTGAGTCTCAGCAGCAGCTGGATGTGGACCGTGAAGCAAGAAAAGAGATACAGGGTAAGTTGCTCTGTTGCAGCAGGGCAAGGGGAGATTGCGCAGGACAAATGGTGGCTGATTAATAGAATTTTGCAGTAAGAAGCTTTTCCTGAGATCCTTAATTTTTCTCAAGGAGATTCCATGGCAGGGCTGTTGTGTTGTGTTGTACCACAGGGTTAGGGAAACACTCTCGAACCATTCCTCAATCTGTGCTGCTGTACCAAGGTGGCACAGAATTTGGCTGCATAAGCAGCAGGGCAGCCCCTGCTTATATCCAGAAGCAGAGCCTGGGTTTGTGGAAGATATCGGCCGCAGTTATGGCAGCCTGTGCAAAAGTGGGAGATTATTAGAACTGTTTCCAGCTACATCTGATACAGAAGCGAGGACTGTACTTTCTTATGCCCTCATGCACAAGCCTCCTTGCCCCTTCTTTCCCCCCCTTACCTTTAAAACTCACCGTATTCAGAATATCTGGAGAGATTTGTGATAGCAGAGAAAGTGGCTGGTTGTGTTCAGAGAAGTGCATCTTTGAAATATTTCACTATCTTTATCAGGAATAATACAGTCACTCTATTGTAATGGTTACTTTTTCAGACCAGGACTTGGGAAGGTAGACATGCTTCCTCGCTAACCGGCTCCGTCAACTCAGGAAAAGACCAAATGGAACCAGAGAGAACCTAGTGAAAGATGTTTTACAACATTCCTTGGTCCAGACTGAAAAAAGGGAGGAAAGGCAGACCAGGGAGGCTGAAAGAAAAGAAATGGACAAATTTAAAACAAATACATTTAAAAGTTAATAAATTAAAAACTTATGAAAGGGAGAGGATATGTCTTTCGGATACACAAACACAGGCTGCCTTATGGAAGCTGCAGTTCATGTGAACCTGTAATTTGTCTTTAAAGGCCCCCTGATAATTGCAATGCAATGTCACGTAATGCCAAGCGAAATGGGAGAGGGAATAGTTCTGATTCAGTTCTCATTGGGCTGCAGAAGGAAGCAAGACTAGGCTTGTTGGACTTGAAAAGCCGCCAGAGTTTATAGCATCTGTTTGCTCCTGAGATGCTCTATTATGCCCTGGTTCATTTCTGTCTCTTCCTGCTGGGACTCCCAGGCCTTTCTCCTGTCCACTTTTTCCTTCTGCAGGCTGCCTTAGCATTCATCATCCAAGCCCTGTGCTTGCATCCCATGCAACGCAGTCATGCAGAGCTCATTGAACATGTTATCCTGAATCTCAGGGATGATGCATGTAGGGAAGTATGAGGGGTCACATGCCCTCAAATGCTGTGGGTGGGTCATGGGGCTAGCCAGGGAACTAGTGCGGGGATGGTCCTGGTGCCCGCAGCAAAGGTCCATCGCTCCCTGTATTCACTGGCTGCTCTGCTTCCCCCTCAGCTATGTGGCCCAGCTTGCTCTTCTCTCATTGGAATTGAAGTGACATGGTTGGAGGAGCATAGCAAGCTGGGGCCATATTCATCTGTTTCCCCTCACCACTGCTAGTGAGTGGGAGAGGGGAGGGTAGACTCCTACTGCTGGCACTGGCTCTGCTAGTCCCCTGGACCACTTTGGTTGGGGGAAGAGGTGGGGCAGAGCAAAGGTGCAAGTCGGCAGGGCCTTGAGTGGAGGGGGATTGTCTTTCCTGGGTTGGGGGGCAGTCATGTGGTGCCTTTTCCTGTCTCCTTACTGGCTCAGGTGTTCCATGGATGTAGAGGCCCTGGAGGCTACAGTAACACAGCTGAAGATGAAGCACAGAGGTACGGTTGTCAGCATATTCACTACAAACTTAAAATGCTGCACTCGCTCCACTAAAGATTTAAAACTACAATCTCACTTCTGCCTAGAATGGCCTGTGCACTGTGCCAGGCACAGCATGAGCCAGTGTGAGCATGGCCCAGCAGAAGATAGGGAAATGAGGAAATTGCTGGATTGCATGATCCTAATAGTAATTGGCACTGAATACTAGTGCCGTTTTCCACAGGCAGAGTGATTTTAGCTGATTTTGCACTCTTGAAGATAACACATGCAGAGCAAGCACAGCTGCTGCTGGTGTCCTGAAGCCACCTGGATTCATATATTGCTAGCCTGTGCATTATAATTGTGCCTGCTGAAGTCGTCACTGAATGGCCTGGGAAAGTGTCCTACAACGGAGGAAAAAAATAAGGCAGCCCTCCAGAGTAATTGTGAATGTTTCATGGAGCTCTCTTGGGAGAATTCAAGGGACATCCCTCTGTGTGTAAACAAACTGCTTTGCACGGCACCCTGCCTTGCTTTAGGTGGGAATGAAAAGCAGAGCAATTCTACCTCTCTTGCTTATGTCACTCTTCTGTCATGAGTACATTAATTAAATCAATCAAAAGATGTCTCCTGCTGCTTTGGGGGTGCCATTCCTGTAATTGAAAATGTATCTACACCGTTACCCAAGGTTCCTTCCCTTACATTGGCAGGACTGTGATAGCATTTAAAACAGGTCTGGTTGCAGAGCACAGCTGGATTCCTTCTTGCCTATACTCCTGTTCCTCATCCACCACCACCACCTCCTTGTGGTTAACAGCAGGAACCTGTGACTTGGGCTCCTCGAAGTCTCCATCAAGAATGGCATGTAGCTATTTATAAAAGCAGCAGGTCC